AAGGCTTTCCACAATGTTCAAGGAACTAAAAAAATGGTAAGCTTAAAGTTTTGCACTATCGTATAACTTCATCATAATTGCCTGCTTTTGAGCTCAGAAAAGCATATAATCTCACAATGTCTTTCAAAAATGCTGAAATGCTAGACTAAGTCTAAGAACATTTCCTACATGACTGGATATATTATCATTCTCACAACATGAAACAGTGGCATAATCATGATAAAAGTAGCAGTTTTTCCTTTGCAACCTTTTGAAAGCTGTTTATCACAAAATTAATGTAATTTTGTTAAAGCTTAACGTCACAGTCACACACTAGAGACACACACACCATTCCCCTTATAAAGGCCTACATGTGTATAAGTTGCTTTATAACCACCTTTGAAACATTTACAGTCAAACCTCTATATAAGGATTACCTTATATAGCCATTGTAGCCACTTTTTTGTGGTCCCTTGTATTATTTTCCCCTTTAAAAGCAGTAAGATGCTGTCTACTGTGGTCTACTGTGACCATTTTCTTCATTGTCCCTCGAATGGTTGATATAGACAGGTTTGACTGTGTACTAGTAATTGATTGTCAGTGTGAACTCATTTGTTCAATCTGCTCAAAAATGTTCATGTTCGAATTCTCTGGTGGAAAAACCATGCAGCAGTTGAGATCTCCCTACCAGCTGCCCTGTAGTTCAGGAATGTGGTAGTAGAGGTCCAGAGACTCGGGGTTGGAGTACGCCCCACGTTGTTGGATGTCCTCCCCGGCGAGAATCCGCTTCACGGCCACTTCTACCTTCTTCCCACTGATGGTGTACTGGGGAAGGGAATATCAACAAAAGTTGGTCATTGGTTATACCTGAGTGGTGGAGGTGTTGTTTTCAGTTGCTGTGTGTATGTCTGTGTGTGGACAAAGGTTTGAGATAGTTGCCATGCTTGGATTGGGATGATAGTTGGTAAGTTATGACCCCTGAATTAAGAAGCACATCATTTGTGGGCCTTCTAGCAGCTTAATACTTTAGTAGAACTTCTGGTTGTTATAATTTTGTTGCTGGTCTTTCGGTTGGCAGATAGCTTTTGGTGCCAGGAAGAAGTTTGAATTTGGTTTGGAAGACATGAAAATTTGAAGGTTGGAAATTAGGTCTTAGTACTTTACCAAACATATCTTCAACACATATGAATTTGTGTTTCCACAAAAAGCAACTAAAGCAGGCAATCTTAAATGAAACAAGTTGACAACAAGAAAGTGAACACTCATGCATGTGCTGCTTCACATTTCTCATACAAGACTCCAAACTCACAGGTATGTCCTTGGTCTCCATGATGATAGCCGGGACATGCCGTGCTGACAGTTGGGTGCGGATGGCGGCACGTATTCTCTTCTGAAGCTCCTGGGACATGGCGGCGCCGGCAGACATCTTCAGGAACAGGATAACCCTCTCCTCGTGGTACTTGTTCCTCTGGGGGACACATAGACTGTCCTGGATCTCTGCAAACTCTTCCACTGAAAAATATGTGTACAACATTGTCTGATTATCACATCAATGTACACACCTGTTTGCACAAAACGTACACCCTTCTAGTTATTGAACATTGCACCATCGCAAGGGTTTTGTGCCAGGGTAATCCAATTATGATTGCCGATGACATGTCACAGTGAAAGTTTGCATACTTTTGAGAGGAAAGTAGGGCTTAACTGTGATTACATGTAGTTGTAAGGCATTATAATAATTTTTCGCACTTAAGAGTTTTGAAAGTATTCAGAGACACAAGACTCACCAACATTGTAGATCTCTGCACTACCAAACCTGACTCCATTAGGATTCAGGGTCCCATCACTGGAAACATAAAAAGCATAAATTATTGAGATAAAAGTATTACATGTTAAGATGCAATATGCAAATTCATCATTGCATTCACATGTATATATATGTATCATAATCTACATTGCACAAAGCTAATAGATTAATTTGATATAAATATTCCATTTTTAGATTATACAAACCTTCTTCCCAGCATGACAACACCTCCAGTCTTTGGGTTGATCTCACAGAAGTCTCCATGGGCCCAAACACCTACAGAAACAAGTTTGTTAGAATGCATAGGTGCATGATAGAGACTAGGTATTCCTACTCTCCAAGCAGAGGTTGTGGGGGAATGATCGTTACATTTTTATATATGGCTGGGGTTTTTTTTTGTCCTGACCCCCACCCATCGGTGACCGCGTACCTTCTCTGGCTAATGGATACTGTCTGGCCAATTTGATACTGTCTTTTTGCCACCGAGAGGGATCTGCTTGGAGATTAATGTATTCCTGTAAATCTTGAGATGTCTCAACCACAAACTTAAAACACCACTGCAAAAAATCATCCTTTCCTTTCTTACTGAAAAATAAAGTCCCATTTAAAAACAAAAGAAGACTCAAATTTGGAGAAAAACATGATTGAATGTACATTCAGTATAATTCATGAAAAGGTTATTTTTACCCTGGAACTTGGCAAAGTATGCCTTCTTGTACTTGAAACCCTCTGGGTCATTCCAGAAGACAGTAGGCATGGAGGGGAAGGGTTTGGTGCACACTAACTCCCCACTTTCACCAAGCACTGCCTGGCCTGTAAAGTCAGAGGAGTAATGAGGATGAAAACATCATGTTTCTGGGAGGTAATCTAAGACAAAAAGGGAAGAATCAGAAACAGAGATGGTCCTAGCTCCACAATGTATATATTCCAATATGTGAGTCAAATAAACATGTCATAGCATGTAGTACATGTAGTAACTATACAATGTGTACCTTCCTCATCCCAGCTCTCCACTGCCATCCCCAGACATCTACACTGGATCTCCCCCTTGTACACAGGGGCGGAACAGTTGTGTCCAGCAAACAGGGAGATGATATCTGTACCTCCTAACCAGAGAAAAGTTAAAGAAGCAGTCAATTACAGTCAAAATGCTACAGTTTAAAAACATCAAGGACATGCGACTTGTATATTTGAATTGTTTGAATTGGCCTAATTAGTTACGTGTAGTCTTGTTTGCTTTTACCTGTGATAGACCCAAGCAGCAAGTCTTTCTTGATCTTGCTGTAGACATACTCAAAGCTCTGCGGCTTGAGGGGAGAGCCAGTAGATAAGATGGTGTGGAGGGAGGATAGGTCATGTGTCAGGGCGGGGTGGACTCCCTTCTCCTCCAGAACTGTCAGCCATTTAGCACCAGTACCCAGCATGGTGATCCTGGGGTGATACATTTCACATTCAAATCATCATCTTGAACCAGATAGCAATTCTCTATTCAATGGCTATGCATGGGAAGATGAAATCATTATGTTACATCTTTTTCTTATCAATTTTTAAAATTCTATGCTTGTGTGAACAAGCAATACCAGCTCTGAAAGTCCTGGAACAATACCATAGACCATCTCAGGGCAGACAATACCACAGACCATTGCATGACAATACAAACATTCACTGCTGCTTAATACAATGTACATGCAAGTTGTATGAAAGTTCTTTCTCCTTAACTGTAGAATTTCTACTATCATCTTAAGACTATCTTACCCTATCTTGTCCACCAGGTCCCAGAGGATGTTGGGAGTAGGCACCAGGGGTGATCCATCGTACAGTACTACTGCAGCCCCCACAGCTAGACAGGACACGAGCCAGTTCCACATCATCCAGCCAGCCTGGGGAGGGGGCAACAACACGGTCACACATCATATAGTTACATAGTCAGACTTACAACCTCTCTCTAGATACTTTTCTATAAAACATACCTGAGCCATCTCTCTTTAAATCTCATGTAAAGAGCCTGAGAATATACTCTGACCAGTGGTGCATTCTTGTTTACTACACCAAAGCAGAGTTAACCATACTGAGACGATTTTGGTACTTACTGTGGTGTAGTAGAGCATGATGTCATCCCGGTCCATGTTCCCATGGATGACATGTTCCTTCAGGTGCTGAATAAGGGTGCCCTGTGCGAGTGGGAGAGGTAACATATTAGGCTTAAGCTAGTAGATCAGCCTCACAGTTCATTTTTTTTCTAGACCACTGTCAGCCCAAATTGAAAATGCATTGAAAAGACTTATACATGTACATGTAGTTGATCCTGTTATAATTGTAACATTAGAGTGATAAATTACAGTACAATACAAAGTTACCAAAAGTTACCACTTGTACATCAGGACTATGTGAGCTCCAAAAACAAGCCCCAGAATGTTCTTACCCCTGCCGAGTGCACCATACACTTGGGAGGTCCGGTGGTACCAGAGGAGTACATGATGTACAGGGGGTGGTTGAAGGGAAGAGGTGCAAACTCCAGAGGTGGGACAACATCTCCTTCCTTCCCAGAGGCAAGGAACTCATCCAGAAACAAGCTGGAGACAGAAAATACAGGTTGAAGGCAAAAGTTAAACCCACTCTTTGAATAAATGTACAGCATTTCATATTGGTGTCTGATTTTACAAAATGTCAAAAAACACTGTTACAGGTATAATAACAAAGACAGATTATATCTATCAGGAAAAATATGTCCAACTCTGTTACATGCACTGTTGCAATTTCTGCACTATATTTTCACTGATGTGTTTGAGATGTATGCAGACATTACTAAGCTACAGAGATTTAAGTAGCTCAAAAAAAAGATTACTGTACCTTTTTGGAATGCTTGATTTATCTATATCTTCTTTCTTGTTCACATATGGAATAATTACCACCTTTTCCAACTCTGGAAGCCCTGTGGAAAGTAATAACATCAGAAAATTATTACTCTGTAGAACAAACAAAAGATATCTACATGTATGCTGCAGAGGTGCCATTATGTCACAGGGTTCAAAATACTTTTCTTTGTATACCAGCACCAATATCATAGGCATATTACTGGTCCCTGTGCACTAACATACATATGCAGGTGGTAAGGCATTTTGAGTGACAAAAATCATGACATCTCACCTTCCACAACCTTCTGTAGTTTATCCAGGTGAGCATGTTGTTTTCCGTTGTACCTGACGGCATCTACGGAGAAAATCAACTTGGGCTGGATCTGTGTGAATCTGTCCAGCACTCCCTGTCGTATGGTACATGAAAAAGGTACATCTTCAAGACACAAAAAAGTAAAATTCAATGTAATGGCCATCTTTTTTCATGCTTAGTGACAAACATAATATATCTTAAATTAAGTTAAAACACCAACATCTGTACATGCATTTTTATAGATACTTTCTGATATTATATTTAGAAGTTTGTTGCTCAGCAAAGTCTTCAAGGCCACTATACAATGTAATCTAGAAGTTAGAATTGCCATATGTACAGACAAACAGAATCATGAGTTAGTATCTTACAGTGACTCCAAAGTCAGGTGAAGTAGAGCTCCAGACTGCCCCTATGCTGGCTGCTCCCAACATGGCTTCAATAGTCACACAGCAGTTAGGGATGTAACCTTGTCAACAACAAAAAAAACAAGAGGTGTTGAAGCATGACTATGTCAATGTTGGGATACAATTTTGTCAGACTGCCTAATATGTTACATTTGTAAGGAATGCCATTGGCTGTACGTGTATTCTTATATTCCTCATGCAAAAAGTTCTATTTTCCATGTTTTTGACGTTGATATTGAGCAGGTCCCTATTACTTTTCAGATGGGGGAAACCATAAGGTGTAAAAATTAGGGGCAACCTACCCACGACTCTGTCTCCCTCCTTCACTCCCATCTTCTTCATGGCAGCTGCGTACACGGCCACGTTACCAGCCAGCTCACGGAATGTTCTCTTCTCAACCTCCTCCCTGCCTTCAGCTACCAAAATTACATATTAACACAATCAAACACTTTGGTTCAGGTCATTGACCTTTTGGGTTGGGAGAAGAGGAAACTGAGCAAGAACAATATGTTTTCCTTCAGTAAACGTAATTATGTATTGGGCATCATACATTTTGCATTTTAGTCAATACCACCTACATGTATTTAAAAAGCAAAATATACGACACAGAAAACAAACATATAGTACATTGTAGGGTTTCAGTTATGACACATATTTACATTTACAGGCAATGCCAGATAACATTATGAACCATGATACTTAGTGGCAGTTTATGAGAAATGTCACCTCAAACTTGGACCCTCAAAACCCTTTCGTCACTTTTTTACAACGGACTATCGCGGACCCCTGTCGTGGAAGAACTGGGGTGTGCACCGTTTATGGTCTATGGGAGACACCTAGCAGGTGCACATCAAACTGCAGCCTGTCAGAGTTTAGCAGCAAAGACTATAGTATAGAAACACTACTCACCTTAATCTCTGCAATAATATTTCATCATAAGATTTGAAACTTACATTATTTAACTAATTAATTTCCGGAAATGAATGATTTATAATATAATATTAACAATAATCCTACCTGCAGCATATATGGCCACCCTATCATCCCTGTATCTCAGCATGTTCTCTGCATAGTTCATCCTGCAGCCCTGGAACCACTGGGGAATCTCAGCTATGTTCTTACTCATGTCCACCACCTGCAACAGTACAACAACAACAGAATATTTCCATTATCTCTTCTAAACAACTGGATGAAATGATGACACGAGTTTTCATTCTGTATGAAAAATTCAAGGCAAATATATTTTGCAGCAAAGTATAGCCAAGGATTTGCAGTCACTCTCTTGAGTTTACAGGTGGTAGTAACACGATGGAAATACTGGTGTCTGTTTGCCAGTGTGACGAGTTTCTAGTGGAAAGTGGCAGAGAAACAAATATTTCAAAATCTATGATACTTGTTACTGTATTAGTTATGCCCAAAAGCAATTTGGAGTGTATTAGGAGCGGTGATGTAATCAGCATGTGAGTGACAGACTTTAGGCCAATCCAATCAGACCATGACACTTGAAGGATTTGAAAAAGATCTTTAACCTCCAGAACAGCATAAATTTCAGACGAGTATAGAATTAATTGATACTGTTCGAGTCTACATTTGATCAGACTTTAGACAAAATGGAAATCTAACTGTTTTAAAAGTAAAAATCATGTTTTAGTTTGTCACAAGAAGAGTTACATACAATCAATACTCCATCTGGAGTATGATAAAATGGTATTAAAACCGCACACCTGGTCGTATATCTTGGAGTGGAGGATGTCACAGAAGATCCAGACTTCCTCCCAGAACTCTGCATAGTTCTCAATAGACCACCTGAACAGATCGTTGTAGCACTCTGCAAAGCGAGACAAAGTCATAACAAATCTTATCAACTGACTTTTCAGCATGATCAGTAGTATTCAGTACACAACTTGGGACATCTGATTAAGTATATATTGGCAGGTAATTACTATGTATTGACAGGTAACAAGAGACTACTACTAGTCTAAGAGTTTTGTCCTTTGTCAACTAAAAGGTTAGGACACATTATTTGAAACATATTATACCAAATATATAAATTGCACAAAAATTCTACTAGTTGCAGGGTTAATAGCAAAGAAGCAATGAAACAACATTTTTTTTAACACTTTGTCAACACAACTGTCAGGTAAGCCTTAAATTGTTCAGTTTGTCTCAATTCTAGAGTTTGGAGATATCTTTAGAAATGCTGTACAACCTGTTCCAAGTGGCATTTGCCTTGGGGATGTGTACCATAGTAATGCCCTTTACACATAAGGTAACAGCAAGGACATGTGTTGTACCTCCATGCATTATGTCATCACATGTCAACCCTTAGCATTCCGTGACTCTGTTGTGACTCCCATTTTTACTTTATCAGATTAGTTGTCTGCTACCAAGGAGGTTCAAAAATTAACCTCCTTGCTACTACTGATGTTTCAGAAGTTGAAAAATACATGTTGAATCAATTTGGAGGGTCAAATCGCTGTCATACCAGCTGTTTTGATTATACGGTTCACACTAGTTTTCAAGGTGAGTCCACATGGCGTGATGTCAGCTTCTCCCTGATTGGTCAATACTGATGGGTAGGTCGGGGGTGTGACACCAACACGAGACCACGCCCCTTCCTGTTTACATTTTAACTGAGCATGAAAACATCGAACTATGTTGCAACCTCTAGAAATGGCTGCGAAATTCGTTTACGTCTCTACTTAACAACTCTTCTCACGCAGTATGACAACGTGGCATGTGGGGATACTATCTTGAGGAGTAATCAATAAAAAAAAAACAATCCGTCATATGTCATGTCATCATGCACATGTCACCTATGTTGCAACGTGGCCGACCTTTTGCTTTGCTTTTCGTGCATGCTACACGAACCAACCAGCGGCCAGCATTCCACAGGGTTTAAAAACACCGTGACACAAACAACCAGGCCTGCAAACAACATACCATCGCAATGTTGGCGTTGTTTTGGTAATGAATGGATAGGGGGAGGGGTCAGTGGAAAAACCAGACCTTTACGTACCGAGCTTCAGGTTGAATTTGTTGTTGATCCTCTCTCGGAACCTGTCCATCTTGGTGACACGGTTGGGATCTGGCCGCCACATGAGGACGGGACGTTCCTTGGGACGATCGCAGTCCATGGCCGAAGAGATTTTGTTAAAAAGCCCGGTGAATGATAAACTAGCACTGCCGTCTGGTGCGACTGACTCAAAATGACCTGTTTGCCTTTTCACCTAGGTGACCTTCAACAGCAGGTATTACTACGCTTCATAAAGTAGTGACAGAAATTCCGATACACATAAATAGCGCTTATTGGCCGTAATTGCCGAGGATAACATCGTCTATCACCATCTATACGAATTTAAATGACTTTGAGCATATGATAATGTAAATTTTATGGATTACATTGGAAACATTTAATGTGCAGTAGCGCGAGGATATGTGAACCACCAGGGTAAAGTGCTTCGGTGGTGTGAGCTTACATTCTGGTGTCTGATTGGTCAAACGCGCTCGTCCTACTGAAGTGATGTGGCGGGAAAGTCAAAAGTTTCATTTCAAAGTCTCTTTGAGAAGAAAAGATGATAAAATCTTTGTTTCATCTTCATTAGTTCTGATGCCCTCGAAAAAATCCTGTCCGAACTATATCAGGGCAGGACTTACAATGCACTCCATTACTGAAGCATCCTCTGACAGTTTTCGTTGACATGCGGCTACAAAATGGCAGATAACGTCAGACACTTGTATTTCAAAACGTTCAGTGTCATGTCGGCATACCTTTTCCCTGTGAGACGTTCCCATACCTCACAGCCAGACGTTTCCTCTACAGTCTTATGTTCAATGGTCCACTCATAAATGACATCTTGCGGTTTTGAGCAAAACTACAATCCCAAAGGTCAATGTGTAATGCTAACACCCCTACCACAAGCTCGATTGGTTTCTTCCAAACTAAGATGGCTGCCCCCAGGAGAAAATTTGACGGAGACGGAAAGTTTGATGTACCAGAGCCTAAAAAGAAGAAAACTTTGCACGAAAAGGATCAAGAGAAGCGTCTCATCGTCGTACTTGACAAGGCTTCTTTAGAAACAGTCAAGGTATGTTTAAGATGGATAAACTTCTTAGGAATTCCGAGAGGGGGAGGTGGGCATAAAAAAAATTATATACACGTGTGGATCATCATATGTCGAAGCTCACATCTTCAATGATATGCGTTCCTTTGTTTGATTATTATAATGTAACAAGGTAGAAGATTAAGAGGTGTACACTTGAGACAAAGTTTGGTTTTGATACCTTAGTTGTTGATAGATAAAATTTGTATTTGTGTAATCGTATGGTTTGTTTACCTTGTGTACAGAATGGGAAGAACTACGAGCTTCTGAACTGTGACAAACACAAGGGTCTGATGAGGAAACACAACAAGGACCCGGCTCAGTGTCGACCAGACATCGCTCATCAGGTAGGACATTCCTCCACAAAGTCATCATCATGCAACCAAACAAGTCATCCTGAGATGGTTTTGATATGAAAACAATCACTCACTACTCATTCACTCGCTCACTCACTCACTAACTCTCCAGTTTATCGTCTGTTGTTCCCCGACTTCCGAGTGTTAGACGTGCCAAAGACATTTTTCCTTGATTGTTAATGTTGGTAATTCAGAGTCCAAAAGACAATTAAAAGGTTGATAGGGGATTATACCATTGTATTTGTGAAAATAAACATTATCATTTTGTGTTTTTCCCCTCCAGTGTCTGCTGATGTTGTTTGACAGTCCCTTGAACAGAGCTGGTCTGCTACAAGTCTATGTCCACACAGAGAACAATGTACTCATAGAAATCCACCCACAAACAAGAATCCCAAGAACTTTTGAAAGATTTGCTGGACTGATGGGTGAGTTTCACTAATTATGTTTACAGAAGGAATACATCACATCATTTTTGCTATGTTTCCTCTTCTTCTTCTTCTTCCCCAAACAGTGACCTCTGACCTAACTGAACTGAGATTTCTTGATATATGTCATTCATGTACATTGTATGTAGAAATCAATGTAGATGTTGATAACTTATCCATGCAATTGGTGAACAAGATGGCATGCAATGTGATTACAAACTGCTAGGGGTCTCCTGTTACACATGTTGAAAGAATGCTAATTTTTTTGTTAACTTCTCTCTACAGTTCAGCTGCTGCATAAGTTCAGTATCAGAGCTTCAGATGGGCCTCACAAGTTGTTGAAGGTGAGTTTTATCACTATAACCTGTTCTTTACCTTTGTGCAGTACTAGTACAGTAGTACAAGTAGGTATTGTTTTTGGTGTGCCTGTACAATGTATGTACGTCTGCGTTCCAGAGACAATTTGGGCCAGAATAACTCTTAAAGAATGTTTGGATGAATAGTCCCTATTGTAACGATAATTAGTGTGTGGGTAGGGCTTAAGAAGATGAAAGTCGGGGTCTTGTAGCTTTTTCTGGTAATGCAGAAGAACTTAAATTTTTATATCTTCTGCCCTAGGCATGTTATGGTCAACTCATGACTTTTTTGGTGGCAGATCTTTAGAATTAGCAATCCCAAACAACCTTTCATCATTATTATGTGAAATGTTCAGGTTATCAAGAACCCAGTGACAGACCACTTACCGACGGGCTGTACCAAGATTGGCATGTCGTTCCACGCGGATTCCGTGGTGAACCCACGCGAGCTCGTTCCTGCTGACAAACCCATCGTCCTTGTGATCGGAGCCATGGCCCACGGCTCGGTGAGTACACACAACAAACCTGACAACATTTACTGAAGGGGAAAGGGTTTGGGGGGGGTTAGTTGTTGTCGTTACCCTTGTTTAGCATCTAATATCTCGCTAGACGTGGTCTCTTGGTGCTGGTTCACGCTTGGTTCAGTTTAGAAGCAAATTGTCTCTCTAGGTATTTAACTCTTGGTGCCTTGTGCTTGCGTGATGCTGAAAGTGTCTCTAGGAGAGCACATCAAATCGGTGCATACTCTCGGGTAAGACCTCAAGCTGATATACGATTGATGAATTAGACATTTTCTTGAAATCAGTTTGTTACTGTTGTTGTTGCTGCTATTGATACGAGTTCACTTTGTATGTTCTTCTCACTCTGTCTAGGTGGACCCAGACTACATAGAGAAGTCAGTGTCCATCAGTAACTATCCCCTGTCAGGAGCCCTCACATGTGCCAAGGTCTGCACTGCCTTTGAAGAGGTCTGGGGCGTGGTGTAACTGTGATGTACAGCTTGACCGCCTTTTTCATGCCAAAGATCCTGTCACCATGAATGGGATTTACTGATACATTTATATATTGAATATAAATGTTATAATATGAAGAAAATGTCAAGAAAAGAGTGTCTCTTTTCATGTAGTACAGGATACCTGAAAGTAGGTATGGATGCTAGTAGTGACTAGTACTGTATATGTACTACAAACTGGGAGTTGTAGCTGTGGTAGTTGACAGAGGTCCATGGGCATTCATACTGAAGTAAACTAGTAGTTTATGAGCATTGGTCCTTGTTTTAGATTCATGCTAATCATATGTTTGGCGATTAGAAAAATCTATGCCTGCTGTATCAAATGTTATTTGCAGTAGTATTCATGAACAGGAATATTCATGATCACGAACCTTGTTATATTGACATATAGTTTTAAGCCAAGCCAATATAACCCATGTATTGGTAGTTTTGTCAGTATATTGCTATAATAATTGTTTCATTATGTAGCATGGGAAGAAAGAAAACACAAATAATATGTCACATGACAACTATTTATTTCACAATGCCAACACACATGTACTTCAGCATAAAGAAGCTAACATATCATTGTTGTGTCCTTCATTCATATTAGACCAGTGCCCCCCTGTAAACTTTACTGTGTGAGCATTCCTTCTCTTCACCATTCGTTATGCGAAAAGTTGCCAAAGCAAATGACATGTTTCTTACTGTCAATGACAAACCAACAGGTTGGATCTAGTTGTATCCCACTGGTAGTAGAACTACATGGAATAATGCAGTAGTCGCCAAAATGATGAGACATTTTTTTAAACCAGGGGAATGAGATGCAAGCTGGCAGATTTTAAAGTATTCCAGGCAAAACGAGTGGAACATAATATCAGCTGTGCATGGGTGGTGTAAATATTAGGGATGTTTTCTCCTAACAAAGTCTTCATCTTTAAATTTACTCAGATGAGTGCCAGCAATAAGTGTCATCTTGACTGTAAGTTGTGCAGCGTATGTAAAATGTACAAATTGAAATAATGCTTATAAGGAAGAACTATCTACATAAATATTGATACTTCTGTGGAGATATTAACCACAATTTTTGCATCTATAACAATTTCCTAATTGTACATTTCTCTTTACAAGACGTATTTCTAGTTCCAGCTATGTTTCATAGACGAATATCACGCAAAGGACGTCCCTCTCTCCTCTTAATTCTTCCCGAGAAGCATCTAAACAACAGCGAACAAAGACAACATCCAAACGATCAGAAATGGAAACAAGTGTGAAATTCAGAATTGTGAATGGTTTTGGTCAAATTTTGTCCACTTTATACAGATTAGGTCTGTGGAAATGTGGTGTGTTTTTTTCAGCAGAATGAACACACATTGCAGTGGTGAAAATTTTATTTAAACACAACATTTATGGCTCCTATACACTCTATACCGAGGAGAGTCGAAGGTCCCAACGTGTCTGTCCGGTTGAGTCTTGCGGCGTCTACCGGCGCCCCACTCTGTACCGTCTGCACTGCGGCATCTTGCGAGCCTTGGGGTTGTTTCTGCACATGTTGCGGCGCTCTATCTCGCTCAAAGTATCGCTTTCGAAGGGGAGGTCGGGCACTAGACATGCACATGAGAATATATAGATGACGATAAGTAAAGACAATCGTGACGTATAGCTGTAGCAGGTAACACCGACGATTAGAAGTACCTGTCCAAACAAGTACCCTGTTACGAAGTGCCATCTAGCGGCGGCCAAACTTTTTGCACTGCGGAATAGTATGGCGCGCCCTCAGACTGGCGCATAAGTTGCGGCGGGCGATCTCTCCGATCGGGTCATTGTTGAATGGCAGGTCTACTTCTGCAGAACACAGAGCAGAGAGAAGAAAAGAGAAAGACTGAACACACAAGACAACAACACAGTGGAGACAACAGGATGGGCACACAGGACAAAACATGTTACCGACATGTCCTTACACCGCGAGGGTTGTATATATATGCCAAATAAGCAGCACAATTTTTGACGACTGTTACAATCCTTCTTACATCTTAATATTACTCATAAACCAGGAGATGTTTTAAAAATTGAACACCTTGACTTCAACAATTTACGTTTCGGACACTTGGTAACACATTCTGTCGTTAATGGGGGGAAAGGGAAGACATGCGAATAACTGTACGTGAGCGAGCGACAACAAGGCAGGCAAACGGCCAATCGACCTTGTGGCGACACAAGCAACACATAACATTATGAACAACGTCATATACACGAACAAGGTCGTGTACGGTTGTATGTACGTAGACAATGACGGTTTAGACGCAACGTGTGAAGAAAAGGACGAGTAAACATTGAAGACATGCTGGACGTTCAACTGGGAGGCGTGCACACAAAGTCCGTGCGACGTGCACACGTTTTTGTGTACATGTACCTTCTTCGTTGGCCTCGTCCTCGCTGGCTGGTAGCAGCTCCGCATCTTCAATAGCCTGTCTCAGTTCCTCAACCTGGAGAGACGTGAGGGAAGATGTTTTGTTGATTAACTTATCTGATCAGGTGTACGTTGTTGTATTTTCAGTGTGTTGTTCAGTATCTTACAAATCTAAAGGAACAACAACTAGCGGGCGACATGGAATTTTTATCATTCATGATCACTAAAAATGATCCTGGTCTTTCGTTGCGTCTGCTAGTATAATTTTCGTGTTTCTCCCAATGTACATAAAACAGTATACGACAGTGCTCTGGGTTTGTAAGTATATTCACCGGAAAAGTAAAATGTTGGTAAAAGCACACATTAACTCAGTGACACCGCCTTCAGCACCAAGGACAGATACCATTGTAAGAAGTCGGCCCCAGTACGTAGCCCAATTGGAAGTATACGAACGAATACGTGTATATCTTTTCTGTTCGTACTCAATAAATGGAGCTATGAATTCGTTTGTAGATATGTCGATGCTCTGACCAAGACAAGATAAAGGTATTTCTTGTCAATTTCTAGTTGTGCATTTGCCAAAATTGCTGAACATCATGACGTCCCAAATATTAATAATCAAGAACAAGTATACTGTCATATATTGGCAATTTCATTACCACAGAAACAGCTTCAAATTGCAAAAGTAATATCGGTTTGAGACAATGTATTTCTAAATTGGACCGTAGTCCTTTCCGGACCAGTACCCTTTTTAATCTTCTGTAACAAGTGTGTAAGTCGAGTGTGTATGTCATTTTTCTTTACAATATCGGGAGAATAGTGTATCATGACAACGTGATGACATAGATGACCTTTCGTTCGGAATAAAATAAATTAGATTTGGATGTCTGCATTTTTGTCACCTCTGGTGTCACCTTTCGTTTTATTGAATTATGTGCTTCATACGCGGCACCTTCACTAGATTATACGCCTTGTACATATAATGTATCAAAAGCTTATTCGTAACAAGACCTACAATAGGATTACTCCTACTGTTATATAGGCCTTATAAATCTTTGCGTGAGCTGATATTGGCAATTATCTAACTCCTAAGACGTTGTATCACGTCTGTACGTATAGACATATTTTTACTATTATTATGTGCATTGTTACCTGTATGGGCGAGTCATGCTTGAAATAAAGAAAAAAGTTGTATACTAGTTGTTTTTCAAATGGCATAAGGAGGCTATACGGCTATTGTTGATTTCGGTATAATGCATATGAATGCAAGTCACGCAATATAAAAGTTTACAGTCTTCTTTCAACGCAGACACCCTCTTCAATTGAACATGGTTGTTCACCGCTTTATCAAACGGCGATATGCACTTGACAAATTGCTCAACTCTATCCCCGTGTAGTTTCAAGTATACAATCAAGAGCTTATCAGATTTAAATTAACACCATATATATTTTCCAAGAAATAACTGGTACATATCTTGCTGTATTTGGCAGATCATCAATTGTGGAGCTTGCAGGCCTAAATTTACACACACGAGCTTCCACCTTAATCCTTCCGAAACTATATTCGCCTCCAGAGAAAGTCTAATAATGAACGGGATATCTATCATGCTGGGTGAACGCCCGCATTGGCTTAGCTGACGAATCATATTCCTGCCATTGTGACCTCTACTTTGGGGGTTGTAATGCCGCGGTAGATGGAGATCCGACCCTTGGGCACTATTGTAAAACACTGTGGAAAAAAGTTTTAAACTTGGCATCAGATATTGCTGTGTATCATGTTGGATTTTTGGGGCAAAAAAAGTATGTTCTTGATCACGTTGACATCTAGAGGTAAATATTTGTATATTTGCATTATAATTTAGTGTTTAAAGTATTTACAAAAGGTGCAGAAACAATCCACTATAAGCTTCTATTTTATTGGTGGTATCAAAGAAACATACTAGTATCTCATGATTTTCCAACACGCCAGCCAATTCATAGGAGATGGAATTTACATAGTGTAACCAGTGGCAGACGTTATGTTATACACACAGAATGATTTTAAGAGCACTGGCATTGAAAATTAGATAAAAATTGTAATTAGATATTCAAGGGTGGATGGAAGATAAATGACAATGTAATAAAGATACTGTATTTCTCTATTACAGTCAATATGGCAACGGCCTGTTGCATTTTCCTTATGGATTTCTTTATGAAGATATTAAAAATTCAATAATTCACAACGCTCCGATTGTAATGACTTATTATACTAAGTATTAATATCTGTGTAAAATAATTATAAGATCTTCGTGTCTTGATTATAGATTGAGGACATAGCATTTTATGACAATGTTCTGCATCATTAAGAAGTTCATTCATACTGCGCCAGAAATTTAGAAGCAAACATATTACGATTGAGCACCCTAATTCTATTTTGCTGCCTCGTCGGAAAGTTTGATTATACTGCTAACAAAAACTACACGCACGTATTTTACTGGTATCCATAGCTGGATTCCAAGTTGGACGTTTTCAGGCTCATAATATGCTGTTTTAATCAGAAAACAGAACAAAATAAGCTAATAAATTTCCACCCAAAAAGCCTGATACGTAAGCTATATAGTTGATCAAATACGTAATGACTCTATTGACTCGATTATGCTGGTCTAACGACAACAAGAAGCCGCTATGCAAATTATCTCCATGACATCGCCTCATCGCAGCTCAATCCATCACCTCTGGCCTATCATCATCCCCGGTAATGAACACCCGTACGCCGGTGAAAGATGGACACCCATTGGCCATTAGGCCCTAACAACCTAATTATCTCGGTAAGCCAATATCTAATGGTATTTGTCAAAAGTCCCTGATCTTTGGAAGCTGCCATGTGTTGGGGCTAAGGAAACTGAGATTGAATATTGAACTTAAAGACCCGACCAGGGCGGCTTAGACTTGTACAATACCAGTGTTAGTTGAGTCACCATCAGCAAATGGGCTTACTGATAACATTGTTTGAATTGATTTTTTGGATTCTACCTTTAGGTGCGATCATGTCGACTCCCTAGAGTCATATTTAAAAACCTTTGAGAGTCTGCCAAGCCTCAAATCTCCACCAAAGTAGAAGAAAATTCCGTGCGAACAAATGAATTTAGGAAGTTAACCGTGCCAATAGCTTGATCTTATAAAGCAACTAGAGTTCCACGATCTCATACCTTCGCCAAATGATGTTAGCTTTTATGAATAACTTATATACAATGTATTAATCCCCCTGATTATGCAAATAGGATCCGCAATTGCATGAATTATATCTGTTGATCATAATCTCCACCAACAGTCTTATTTTAACAAAGAATGCCATTATAGCATTTCCTCATATATTATGCAAATGAAGTCCTTATTTGAATAAGTTATGTTAAATTATGTTCACCTTCACTAAACTTCAAACACCCCAAGTATAAAATTCCAGGCAGTTACCACTATGCAATTATAACATTTTCTCATTAATTATGCAAATTAAGTCTTCATTTGCATAATCGATATCTGCCTGTGTTTCTCTCGTTGTTAATATCATATGTCGCAAGCTTGAACTTCCTATCATGGAATGCAGCTGATTAATAGAATTTCCTCATTAATTATGCAAATTACATCCATATTTGCATAATTGTAATATCATTATGTCAAGCATTACTCAAGCTACCTACATACCAAAAATCATGATGATCCATCTATCGGTTCTTGAGTTATCCTCCTTTAAACATTTGTCCTTTAAACCCCCCTGCAGTTCTAGAGCAAGCAACTAGGGGGCCCAAACTCACGTCACTTCTTCCCCAGCACAAGAGCTACCTGCCATCCAAATTTCGTCACCCTAGCATGTCTGGATCATGAGATATCAAAACCGGAAGTTCAGCTGCAGTACCATGACAAGCCGCCAGGGGGCCCAAAATCTAATCAGTTCGAGCTCTCATCAAGACCTACCCACCTACCAAATATCAAGATAATCCATCTAAGCTTTCTCGAGTTATGCTGTTGACACACAGACACACAGACACACGGACACGAAAACATAACCTTCTCCAATTCTTGACGAAGGTAATAATAAAACAATAATAAAACATACAATGTATATTTTTACAGCAAATGCATTTTATATATGAACTAGAGTTCCCCAATCTCATACCTTCGCCAAATAATGTTAATCTTCATGGCTGACAAATTATACGTTATTGCCCTGATTGTGCAAATAGGATTTTCATGAATTATATCAGTTTATCATATTCTCATCCGAAAGACAGTCTTATTTTAACAAAGAATGCCATTATAGCATTTCCTCATATATTATGCAAATGAAGTCCTTATTTGAATAAGTTATGTTAAATTATGTTCACCTTCACTAAACTTCAAACACCCCAAGTATAAAATTCCAGGCAGTTACCACTATGCAATTATAACATTTTCTCATTAATTATGCAAATTAAGTCTTCATTTGCATAATCGATATCTGCCTGTGTTTCTCTCGTTGTTAATAACATATGTCGCAAGCTTGAACTTCCTATCATGGAATGCAGCTGATTAATAGAATTTCCTCATTAATTATGCAAATTACATCCATATTTGCATAATTGTAATATCATTATGTCAAGCATTACTCAAGCTACCTACATACCAAAAATCATGATGATCCATCAATCGGTTCTTGAGTTATCCTCCTTTAAACATTTGTCCTTTAAACCCCCCTGCAGTTCTAGAGCAAGCAACTAGGGGGCCCAAACTCACGTCACTTCTTCCCCAGCACAAGAGCTACCTGCCATCCAAATTTCGTCACCCTAGCATGTCTGGATCATGAGATATCAAAACCGGAAGTTCAGCTGCAGTACCATGACAAGCCGCCAGGGGGCCCAAAATCTAATCAGTTCGAGCTCTCATCAAGACCTACCCACCTACCAAATATCAAGATAATCCATCTAAGCTTTCTCGAGTTATGCTGTTGACACACAGACACACAGACACACAGACAGACACACGGCCAGGAAAACATAACCTTCTCCAATTCTTGGCGAAGGTAATTAGTAGTCAGTGCACGTAACATACGTGCAACATGTAGCTAGCAAGCAGCGAAGGGAAGTAATTAATAACCTGAAATGCACTGATCTTTATCTCTTGTTAAAAAGGAATATAAAGTAGTACCTATGAAACGCATGACAAATGTTCCGTCTTTTAATAATCTCTAAAGTTATCTACACTGTGGTGTTCTTATTGTGTTTGATCCATCCAACTGGATCCAACATTCGTCTTGTGTTTTTATTGAGCTATGGGGACTTCCTATAACGACTACGCTTTAGCCTACAGATATATCTCTCACGAATATAACCGATGATGAGGTATTCACACATGTGTGCAGATGCCATTTGTTCTTTGAACCTTTTGGCCGAGGTATCAATTTCCAGAACTTATGCTCTTCGTTATGGACAGTGCAAGTCACCGGAGACAAATAAACTACCTGATACTTACTCAAAAGGAAATGATGTACGAGAATGTGCGCGGTGAAGCGTGTTTGTTTCGCCGGGTTCGGGCAATTATGTCGTATTGTGGTAACCCGAGGCGAGGATTGGTGGACTAAGCGCACTGTGATAGACATCAGAACTGGTCTATAAAGTTCAGCAGTGGCCTGTCCTCGGGCAGCAAAGTCAAGGTTAGACAGCAGGTATGTGGACGGAAGATCGATTCTTTTGAGCCGCCTGGAAACATAGCTTACGCCCGTTGATTCCTATCTATGTCTCTTGGCGCGCATCACACTTGGCATCTGCATTACTCTTACTTTGGAAGTAAAACTCTCCTTGAAGACGACTACAAAAGACCTTAAAAAACTGTTACGGGCGGTGCCGATTCATGCATGAATAACTGTAATATAGTCATGTTGTGATACGTTATAGGAAATTTACTGACGGTCAAATCATATCATGTGAACCTATAGTGTTTCTTGAGTTGAGACATGTAACGTTGTGTCTGGCAGATTCGTACTAAAAGTTTGCTAGTTTGGCCACAATCCAAACGTTTCGCTAATGTATCAGTATATACTCCACAGTGGATTGGCTGAAGAAATGGCCTAACCGGCCAGATTTTCAGTCGGTGTTCCCAGCGGGACAATTAGATCACTCTGCCACTTACACCGACCGTGCGTCTCCCGACAAAATGGCAGCAGGTTAATTTTGCTGACCCTTTCAAGCAATTTCTGAAAGAATTGCGTCCTCTATAATATCTTTAGATTGCTTCCAATTTACACCGATTCTACTCTTTTGGACGTCACTTTGTGGATTCAAATTGTCGCGATTCTTATGTATTCAAAGAACTTAAGATTTGTTTTTACCAAATCTAGCTTGATAAATGACACTGATGTAAGTGTGTTTAAAGATTATCCTTATGCGGGAACTTTCTCAATTACGTCGCAAAATAAGACTTTTTGGTAAGGATGATACATAGTGCATGCCGTCTGGGTGTCAACAAGATGGACTGTTCGGCTCAAAAAATACGTACATAACGTCCCAAATATTGATCCAGCCATTTAGCGCAACAATGGTCTCAAGTGGCGGCGTCTCTGGTGTGCGATCAGTCTCTGTCGCGACGGTTTGAGAACCAGCGGGGCACTTTGTTAGGCAAACCCGTACAGGGGAAATTGTAGCCGGCCCAGGAGACTACAGTAATGGGCCTGGGGACGTGATTAGCGAAACGTGAAAATTAGGTTCAGTCGATCAAGCCTAGCAAGGCGAAAAGTGGCAGCGCTTTTTCATAAATGATCTCTGTTTGGAGAAAAGTTTTAACGTATCAGATAAACAGCAATTAAATAATCATGTATCTATAATCCTTGATAAAATATGATTTTTTTTTCCTTTTATGTTATCAGACTACGCCCATTATTCCACCACTTGCCTCAGTCATTAATGATAATTTACATCAATCAAAACTTAGTTACCCCCAATATAACCGTATGTTCGATCCATTTCTTTGTTTGCTCAATAAAGTATATAACGTACTTCCGGCCCCAATTACAGTGGTTCCTGGTATATATCGATTTGGTAAAGGTCGTAGAGCAGTGGTTGTTGGCTAGGGTGTCTCGGGTGCCGTATAGGAAGGCGGAGCCCATCCCTCTCCATCTAACCAAAGCCAGGCACCCAATCGTCAACAGTTGAAACATATAGAAAACATTTTTTCAGAGTTAACGTTGATCTAAATGGTTATTGCCGAACTTCCGAAAACAGTTTCATCAGGTTGGTAAAGTATAGGATCATATAGGATACAGGAGTTTTCTTTTAAACAACCAAATTCTCTCAGCTAAAGTGCTGACGTTTCGGTGTCTATCAGGCAACTTTTCCTCATATATAAATGGTTATTGGTTTTCGTCGTTATGCTTATCGAAAATTACTCTACCCGTCATCATTATGAGGTTATGGGCAATCGTAATTGTTCATAGAAATATGATTAACCACATCAGATTGCATATTGAGCGTACTTTCTTCGGTACGCACACCATAGCCCATTATCCATCAAATGGTGTTTTTGCGCAAATAAAGCTTACCTGCAACCATACCAGGTAAGCTTTAGGCAAAATGAATCTATTTCCATTCTGGATGCGGAAATCATTGAATGGTCATCAACTTTAACAATAGAATACATCAACAAAGCATAACAATGCCACAAAAGATTGGATCTAAAAGGAAGGGAAGGGTTTATTCGCACGGTATGCCTGGAAGTTGGGGCAAGGGTCAGCGCTGTGCGGGATCTCTCGGGTAGCTGCTGGACACGTTGCCGCTTCAATCATCAACGACTTCTGGCACATGTAAAATACCCCATCTTCGCCCACACATTTGTCCGTAATGGACTGTCCATACGAATGGACCAAATGGCGGTTAGCCGCTGTCTTCTGTCGGGTGGGACAAATTGCCTGGTCGGGAATATACTGCTCATCATCTTTCCCCCATTTGGCCCATTTCCCTGATCGATGAGCAATCAAAATCTTGCTTTTCAGCAGAAAATGACCAACACACGGCAAAGATCGCTCGGTCGTTACGCTATTTGTTCTCCTTAGTCCACAATTTACGGTCTATTGGAGGAGAACTATCAAACGATAGTCATGGGACGAGAATTGCATACTAACAATTACCAGAATTTTACACGGTTTTTAATGGGGTTTTGTGTGTAAACAATGCCTTTAGATCATTTCTAAGCCAACGAGCAAACTGATTTGTAGAAGAAATCGATTTTTCAATTTGCTACCTGCCTGCATTTCAAAGGACCCGAAGAGAAGAGCTAACAACAGGTCTTCTTTCAAAACTAGCCAGGTGACAGAGTATTGGACTGCTGAATAGGTGGCATTTTTGTCTACAGCGCCTTCCCTTACACAGTAATGTGCCAAAAGAATCCATAAAGCAAATGCGGTTTTACCAGGATAATTAGAGAAGTCGCCGGGCGCATTTACTCTTTAATTGTGTGTGATTGTGTGAGACAGAAAGAGGCAGAGACAGAGTGCCAAATAGTACTAGTGCAGCTACAGAAGTTAGTGTTGCCAGGACGTCCGGACACATAACCAAGAAATAATTAGTATAAGACACCGATACCGCGTATTCCGCTACCTGTAGTCAATACCAATTCTAGCCAACTCAAGGTGTATTCTCATTGACTCCCTTAAGCAAAACTACATGCGTATAGCAGCCAGCATTCGTTAGGCAAGCTGGTTTCCGTAACGTTCTTTAATTTGCTCATCGACGATGACCGTAATATAGCAAATGTGGCTTTACTAGGATAATTAGAGAAGTTGCCGGGCGCATTTACTCTCTAAGTGTGTGTGATTGTGTGAGACAGAAAGAGCGTAGCAGCCAGCATGTGTTAGGCAAGCTGGTTTCCATAAGGTTCCTAGCTCATCGACGATGATCGACCTCAGCTGCATTACGACCATCGTGGAGCCGACATCAAAGGAACGGGCCGCCGCAGGTTTTCTCATGATTGATAGTAATCAGTGAGCCTAACTCAGTTACCGCCTTTGATATCTATCGGATCCTTCGTTAATAATAAATGTAATAACCTTTATCAGCTACTGTATAGATGATCGATGATCAGCAGGTTTCCGTGTGTTTAAAGTACACAGGAAGAATAAAAATCCACGTCAACCTGACACGGAAGATACTTTTCCCCGTAAAAAAAACATGACAACAGATTCCATACCTTTTGCAGCAAATCTGCCTTGTCCACTGCCCTGGCCGTGACTTGATTTAGTAGCAAAGTGACGACGCACAAGCCGGCAAGAACGAACACTGCAAGGCGGGCCATCTTTTCTGTTGCCGGCGAGGTGTGGTCTTCTTCTGTCCGGGATGAGACTGGTCTGGTCCTGGGAGAGACTGGAGCAAACTGATTCGTGCGCTTTCTGGTAAGCGTTTAAGTACATCCCACCGCGAGTTGCGATTGGTCAATGCTAATGTTGTTTCTTTTGACGTTCAATATGCGTCATCACTTAAGACCCGCCCACCTCACGTATGTACCCATATGTCGGTTGTGGATTGGTGGAAACTCAACGGTCTGTAGTTAGTTCTAGAATCGATGGCTACACGAATGCGGACTCAGAAAAATGCATGAAGGAACCGGAAAGGAAGGAAACGTTGACGTCAATGCAAATTATGGTAGTTAATAGTTGCTCAAAGTTCATCTTCGGCCAAAAAGTATTTGTTAAATAGAGTATAAAGTTCCTATTCCTTAACTCCATAAATGGATAGAGGTGTGGATGAAAACTTATACACCAAACCTCATGTCTACTACGAAGCTCTATGTGACATTACGTAATTATATTTTATATGATATTTTCGTTGAGGATATAGATGGTCATGGAAACGGAACGACTTCAATATAATTTATATGAATGTTCAAGCCATACAATTTACGAACAATATCATAATCGAAATTGTCACATTTCTGACATCTAAAACTACAAAAGTTCCTAGCCAAAGGCAGTGCAAATGTCGAATTTGCCCACGTTCCAGGGAGTTGGAAGACCTTGTGGTTGCCCAAATGACTCATTTGGACCCGTTTCAAGGCACAAATTGCCCGCCACACAAGGGCTGGCAGCCATACGATCAGATTGGTAAAGTCATGGCAGTTGCTGGAGGGCATTTATTGAATTGGCCTGTTGGGAGTTTTTGCTACCACGAAGTCTGCTCCAATAACGTCAGTACGAGGGCAACCTTGCCCCTCCCTGTATTGGATAGGTTGAAAATATGGCAATATTACATGGATGTGTGCGTATAAGGCATACTTTTCATCCAAATAACGTGTGTCCTGACTGCAACATTGTACGAAGAATACAATATGTACTATTGGCCAATTTCCAAATTGACATTGTCAAGAAATACAAGGAAAGCTACACAGCTCTGCAATGTTAAGGTCGGAACATCAGTCGCTAGGCCTAGCCCCATAGCTGTCCCCTGTTAACCCCAGGCGCATCTGGGCAATCTTTCGACGACTGATACCGTGGTGGACCATGTATCTGCTATTTCCTGCCTTTTGTAATTAGGAGTCGGTACAATTAAGCAGCGCCTAGTGAAAATTGACGACCCAGGTGGCGAGTTCAAATTGACCGTTACGTGTGGCAGATGTCCCTTCATCGTCAATACAGACTGTGTATCCATTATAAGAAAGACAGAACACACGAGAAGGCTCAGATATAATTCCTGCTTCCTTACCAATATTCTTTGGCTTCAATTCATAGCTTGAACTTCTCCTATTTTTCATTTCAGTTGTTCTATGGGAAGGTTCTCCCAGGCAAGAGTGTCGGCTCACGAACAATAATTTTCTTTCCTGTTGTTGTTGAGATGCACTCCATATCTGTTAACATAGCTGACATTGATGGCCCTCTACCGCCGGATCTAAATGTACTAGCTAGTACAGTGAGTGAAATGGCTTAGCTGGAAGGGGCGGCGAATCTTTTTGATGTTGCAATGTACGTCCAAAGTGCTCATAAGAGTTTGTTTATTTACGGTAATGATGTTAGCTGCTGACCCTTAGGCATGTTTGGGATGATGCTGAGGCTTTGTTGAATTGATGAGGATGCTAGCAGCATTGGTTGAGTGGGCCATGGGGCATGAACGATATCACCGATCAGTGTGCCGGAACGTATGACTAAATAATGTTTAGAAGGTGAGGGTTGAGAGATCGATGAAGACGTGCGTCATTGTCTTTCCTGGACGTGAATCCCTGCCTCGTTTGCCAGGAGATTTAAGGAAGATAAAACATTGCGGACCGGACAAAATATTTTGCAAGGTCGTTACATGCAGGGTTGTCCACGGGTACATAATTTAGAGCCCGATCGTTAAGGCTTTCTTGGCAGAGAAAATTAAAAGTGGTAGCCTTTATCTTCTGACTTTTCAGACCTTTGATTTTATCTAGTACGTTCTGAGGTTTAACATCTTAAGCTTGCGGCGTTTCAGCCGGTTCCCAAGATAGTTTTGGGGCTAAGTCTATCGGCAAGTTGCTCTGTCATGATGTCCATGTCAAGACAATCATTTGTGATTATTGTAAAATGTACGAAACAATGAAATAAATACATTACAATATTAGCAACATGCATTAGCAACAGTATACATGCAAATAGTTGCTTTGCTGATTTGTGGTCATTCTGTAGAACCGAAATAGGTTGTATCCAAAGACCTAGGCAGTAGCAGTCTATAGATGTCCAACAGAAAGCTTTATAACGAGCAGATAGAGAATTATAAGAAGGATCTCAGATTAAAGCAATGAGATAAAACTTCAAACGCTTCCTCTGGCAGAAAGTACATCTTCTACACAGAAAATTGGTGAACATTGAGAGCAGACCATCAAACACGCCGCGATTTCAAAAGACCTTTCCGTGTCAGCAACCATTTGGCTCCCATGTCTTCAATATTGCAGTGACATCAAATGTTAGTTATTCTACAAATTGTCCATATCGGCTTTCTTCCTGCTCCTTCTGAAAATAAGACATCAATGATTTAGAGGTAAGAAGTATCAGAGGCTAATAGCTTCCGGTTCTTTGACTGCTCTAAGTTGTAGTGTCGACTAATTTCCTGTCACGTCAGATGGATCTACAACCCTCTGATTACTTGTCCGCCTTTACCTCTGATGAACAGTCTGATACCGAGTACAGGAAGAAGGCAACCCGCCTACGGAGAGAGGGTGACCCGCCTACGCGAGGGAGGCCAACCGCCTACGGGAGAGAGGGCAGCCCACATTGCCTGAGTCTAAAATAATCAACTTCAAGACATTTGTTTTCCTGGCGTGGGTGTGATTTGGTCTTAAAACCATCTGCCTCCGCTGCCACCGCTGATACAGGCAAATAGATATCGACAGATCCGACACTAATCAGCTGACTCAGAGGTCTGAACGTTTGCCCGAAGGAAGGACGACTTCAAGCTATGGCCCTGACTTCATGGTTCTCTAGATCTTCGTGCTTGCTGATATGACTTGAAGGCAGGACCTCATTTTGCGTTCCTATTCTCCAGCTGTTGCACTGCGAGTACAGGAATCGGCCTGTATGATCATTACGCTCCAAGAAGGTTCTGTTGACTAGGCCCATCATCGCTACTGTTGGTAATTTCCAACAAAGCAAAACAAAAAAATCTTTAAATACTATCGAAATCAATTAAAAACTAAAAACATATCTAGAGATGACATACAGTGTACGCAACGAACCAAAAAGTTTTGATTCAAACTCACTGGATATTCTGGTATCTTTCAAAGACAGATATGTAAGTTGGCTGATATGTACCCCCCAGCATTATTTTTCATGCATACTTTACACGATTTGGGGCTTGATATGATATGTTTTTAGTGTTAGGAATCCATTTAGAGGCACAACGCTCCATACACTCTTGTTTTTTTTATCTTGTCATCCCTCAAGCAAAACAATGGTCGATACTAGATAGACATCAGTTCATCCCGGGAGCTTCAGTTAATGACTGGATGTGTCAACGAATGTCGAGTATTTTACGTGTGTTTCAATAGTTCTGAGTGAGCCAGAGAAGAGAGGAAAAGCTTTGACTGGAAATCTGCTTTCCCAATGCAAATATGTTGCTTCCACATACAACAAACACCCCGTTGCCAATTAAGACGGCTATTCGGCCACTTACAGCAAATACAGAATTAAAAAAAAAAACATATCTGCTCAATATGTCGAAGAAAACAAATCACTTCAATAGATAAAAGAAGTACTTTCTGACAGCGAGTTTCATTAGATTCCCGTAACGACAAGTCCCTTGATTCCTTGTTGATGGTCTTACTTAATGGTATTGCTGATGGAAGGACGGCTATCAATATTTGTCTTATCTTGACAGTACCCTTCTTAATGTTTAAAAAATGAACAAGGTGCCGATAATGTACATGTATTTGGAAGTCCTTCACTACTTCTTGACAAGTAGAAGGCAGAATTAGCACAGCACGAAAACGCATATTTAAGCCAACTTTACGAACTGCGTTAAGAGGTATTAAAGGCGGCGAAATATTTAAGCAGCCTTTACGACATCGGAAAGGCAACTGAAAGGGAAATATCGCCTTTCCGTAACCTTTCCACATGTGTAAATGTCACGTTAATATAACGTGTTTCTTTCCGTAAGCTTTACATGGACTTAAATGTAATGTAAAGAAAGCATTGCGGTAATGAGTTAACTAGAAGCATCTCAAAGCCATATGATCTTTTTGATTATTATGAATAAAGTCCTTACCCACCTCGCGCGACTGAACACAAGCATTTTATATGCTTTTTCATATTTGGTTTTACCTGAAATATTAGATATATTCCATGATTTCTCGCTGAATCGCCGCAAAATCTAACATTAATATGCCAAGTCATTTCTATATGTTTATGTCTGGCTTTCCAAAAACATACGGTTCCTTTCCTTGTTCTATAAACAAGCTTTCCGCCGACGGAGAGACATCTCCCCTATACAGTATAGGCGTCGTTTAGCTGCAGGAAATGTTGCGTTTCTTTGTCTTTCCTACCGTCGCCAAGTTTTCTCTAAATTGAAGCAATCGCCATGTTTTTTTACACATATTTGGGAGCGACCAAATATAACAACACCATGCCTAGTCCATTCTATATGTTTATGTCTGGCTTTCCAAAAACACAGTATTACGGTTCCTTTCCTCCTTCTATAAACAAGCTTTCCGCCGACCGAGAGAAATCTCCCCTATACAGTATAGGCGTCGTTAAGCTGCAGGAAATGTTGCGTTTCTTTGAATCTTGCGAACTTCTAAGTAACAGAGAATCGGCCCTAAAAGTCTGCAATAACCTGCAATGGGACGACATAATATTGAGGAATTCGCTATTTCAAAATCTTGTCCGGGAGATGTATGGAGCGGATGAAATTATTGTTTTAGTACAGAACCGGTATATGCTAAA